CTGCGAAGTGCGAACACATTCAATCAATCAGTTCTCCCGACCGACCACTCTATCATTTTTCTATCAAACCTTTCTTCCATTGCTTTTAAGCACCTGTGAGGAAGTACCAATACACTTTCCTCCTCTGTAGCTGGGTATTTTTTTACTCTTTGTCACCGCAAAGACTCTAACAGTGCTGGGGACACTATTTTAATGCTTGAAATTAATTACATTTTTTCTGGCAAAATTTAATAGTTTGTTCTGATTCAAACACTGCTTGACTTGTAGGACTTCTCAGAGAGAGAGAGAGAGAGAGAGAGAGAGAGAGAGAGAGACTTGTGGGACGAGAAGTTTTAGCGGTGTACCGCATTTCCACGTTGAATTATGCAGTTGGGTAAGCGTGCGCGCGGATTGCGCACTCCTCTGAGTGTCACCCGCGCCGATCGATAGATGAGTCTATATTGTCCCCTGGATCAGGGAGCCACCAAGTGAACTGTGAGTGACAGCTCCACTACCACTGGCCCACTGCGGTGAGCTGTCCCAAGGTGAGATGGAGTTGGCCACGGCAAATGATACACTCCACACAGCTTGATCACAGTTCGACAGTGGGAGCACTGCTTCACCAGCATCGTCATCATCATGGCCGAAGAGGTGGTGGTGGTGGTGAGTGGTGAGGAGGTGAATGCAGCGGCGAACAACAAGGAGAACAGTCAGCTGAAGAGAAGGTGCTTCAGTATGCTACCCTCGCTGTTCAGGTGAGTTCGCATTTGATGACACAAACGAAATAAAGTGAATTGACACTGATTGTTCACAGAAAATCAAGTCGCTTCAAAGGGAACCAGGCAAACTTTGCCTTTCGCAGGCACTGCAGCTTCGAAGTGCTGTCTGACGATAAGCTCTCCATAAGCTCTTTTCCCATCACCGACTCGTGTTTGGCCCCTGGCTCGCCGATTTCGCCTCGAGTGAAGAACTTTAATTCTGACATGCGAAATCTAGCCAACTCGCGCAGAGACAATCCTTTTATTAGTCAGCAAATAGAACTCGACCATCAGTCTTCCTCAGAATATTCTGATCTTTCAACGCCAATTCTGTCAGTTCGAAAAAGCCGTCCAAGCTACTTTAACATCAACAAAAAGGCAACTGATTTTACATCTGAGCTCTTTGAACTGTCAAGTGACGACTCTTCCAACTTGCACGAAAAACTGATCCGAAGCCCCCCACCACACTTTCCCGAAAAGCTTAGCCAATTTGTCTTTACCGAAAGTTACATTGGCCAAATTATTGATGATAAATAAGACAAACAGCCGCATCCCAGACGGCCTAGTTATCAACCTTGACTGGCTGCGAACAATGAAACACAACAAATTAAAATTGTTATTCAAAGACAAATCGCCAAACAGAAAGTCGCAACCTGAAGCCACTCTGACAGTACCGATATATTTTTTTCAATAAACTATGATATGGCAAGAGGATACAAATGATGAGATAACTGATTTGTTTCAGTGTCAGAGTTGACTGGCCTCAGCTGAGTCAAGTTCACTGCTGGAGGAAGAGAACTTGAGTACGTGATGAGTGCTGCTGATGTAGATGATTGTGCTGGTGGTGGTGGTGATGGACTTCAGTGACCATTGTAGTGGTGACGATAGTTGCCGCTGCAGGCAGTGTCCGCATGACTTGATGACTGCAGTCAGTGTCACACATCCCGCTCACAGACCTCGACACTGCACATCGACAGCCTTCGGGTGATACGACAGTGCACTGACAGTGGCGCACTGGCTTTTGCTTATCAGGCTGAGACGATGCTGATGCCCACTCTGCTGGCACTCTACTGAATGTTTTCGCCCCCGTTGCCGCTGTTGCTGCTCGTCGTGTTCAGAGTGTCGCTAGAATAGCATCGGCGAGGAGTAGTAGTGCCGCAGTAGTGAAAGTGAAGCGCTCTGATTGCCTCTGATGTTGTCATCGCCAAAATAACTTCATACTCTGCTATTTTTGGTCGCACACCAACCGACCGACTGCTGGTGAATATTCGCTGGCATCTCTTTCTTCACTCAATTCGCCATTTCCATTTCCTCTTCATCACTCAACTCACTCTGCTCACAGCCACCCACTATGGCCTTTATCACGCTTGCCAGTAACGACTCGTACGCCCTTGGAGCACTCGTTTGGGCCGCATCTCTTCGTCGAGTGGGCACCACCAAAGACATTGCCATCCTGGTCACCAACGGGGTCTCCGATTCGCTAAGGTAACCGCAAAGTTAGCTGGTATTCACTCAACTATATTAATTTGCCTCTTTTTTTCAGAAACGTACTTCCGAAGTTTTTCAACCACATCGAGCTGGTGAATGTGCTGGAAAGTCCTGATCCCAGTATTCTGGAAGCCTTGAAAAGGCCGGAGCTTAACATTACTCTAACAAAAGTACTACTACAAATTGCAAAATATTTAACAAAAATAACAATATTTTTTTAAAGCTGCACTGCTGGAAACTGACTCAATACAGCAAATGTGTTTTCATGGATGCGGACACGCTTGTGGTTAAGAATATTGACGAACTTTTTGAGAAGGAAGAGCTTTCCGCAGTGTCTGACATTGGGTAAGTGTGGGCCGTATTTTAGGTGATCATGAGTAACATATTCTCACTTATTTTACCCTTTTAGCTGGCCTGATTGCTTCAACAGTGGAGTGTTTGTTTTCGTGCCTTCTCAGCAAACATTTGCCAACTTGACAAGTCTGGCTGCCAAAGAAGGAGGAAGCTTTGATGGCGGAGATCAAGGCCTTTTGAACACCTACTTTTCAGACTGGGCAACTCGTGACATCAATCGTCATCTTTCATTCATTTACAATATGCAGTTTGCCTCTTGTTCGTATTCCTACGCTCCTGCTTTTAAAAGGTATGTTTTGACTATCAGAATGACAAAATACTAACAGCAGATTTCACAGGTTCGGTGATAAGGTAAAGGTGATACACTTCTTGGGTTCAGTCAAGCCGTGGCACTACACCGGCAGTGAACATGCCAATGAATTCATCAAAAAATGGTGGTCAATGTATTTCAGTGAGGTTCACCCTAAAATTGAAAGCTTAAGTGACGTTGGCTCACTGAGCAGCACCATTCAAAGCATGTCTATTCAGGCGGCGGCGGATGAATCGTCGGTGGTCGATGATCGCTCCGCCAGCTCGGCAAACTGGCAAGGCCAGAATGTGCCCTTTGAGGTGATTCAAAAGAAGCTGGACGCATCAATCCAAAAGCCCTAAACTCACAATGTCACCCGATTGTGATGCATTTTAATTTATTGATTTGTGCCAAAAAGATTGTCTCCTACTCAAATGTTTTCTAGTGTTGTCAGATGTAACGAGTGTACTGTCGTTACTTGTCAATGCTTCTGATAATAAGTAATCCGCCCGGTTACCAGGTGACAAGTATAAAATAACAATAAATGCTACTGTCAACAAAATATGATGATGGAGAGTGCATTGGCACGCCTGCGGCACTGTGGCCAGACAGTGTGGCGGGGCAGGAGTGCGACCTCGACAACCTTGCTGCATCCCCCCTGGAAGCGGACGCTAATGTTCTCTCTCTCTCTCTCACTCTTTGTGTGCAACTTTGGCGTGTGTTGACGCAACGCTCACTCGCTTTTCTCGTACGTGCACGGGCAGCGTAAGTGCTGCGTGTTTGTGTGTGTTGTCTTCTGCTCAGAACAGCTCTGAAGCAGCAGCAGCAGCTGACTCTTTCGCTTTATTTTCGAAGACAAGTGCCAACATTAAACTATTTGTTGCCATCCGTCAGAGGGGCACTTTTTGGCGCCCACTTTGATGTTCTCTTCATCGGGCAAACACAGACACAACACCTTAGAGGACATGACCTCCCTTCTGAACATGTTTGATTATCCTCTGGGTCATGAGTGCCCTCGCGATTCCGCGCCACTTCTGCTGAAGGGTGATGCGTCCATGCTACCTCCTGAACCGCAACACGGGAACATTGAATATAAGTTAAAGCTAATTAATCCCTCGCCAAATCGACTTCAGCAACTGATCACTCAGATGAAATGGAGACTTGAGGAAGGTACTGTATTGTCGTGCAAGCAAAAAGAAAGAGTGAGGAAATCTAATGCGCAACAACTTCCCTATTCGTTGCAGGTCTAGGTCAGGCGGTCTACGTGATTGGCGTGGAAGACTCTGGAGCCATACCGGGACTCACGCAGGATGAAGTGGACTCTTCCTTGGAGACCTTGATGATTATGGCAAAGAAAATTGGCGCCACTATCTCAATAAAGGGGGAACGGATCGTGGAAAATAGTTCAGGAAAAAACAGGCGGAAAGCAGTCGAAGTATTTGTACAAATGCAATGCAACGAGGAAATCCACGCAGACGAAGTGCGTGTGGTTGTCGTGGGCGGTGGTGGTTCAGGAAAATCTACATTAATCGGAGTTCTTTCAAGCGGTTGTAAGGATAATGGCAAGGGTAAGTTTCAAGTTCATTGTTCAAGCTTAAAGTCTCAAGGTTTCTTTATAGGTCGTGCTCGTCTTAGCCTATTTCGCCATCGCCACGAAATTCGGACTGGTCGTACTTCCAGTTCATCCAGAGAAATAGTTGGTTTTGATTCAAATGGAGCGCCTGTAACGTACAATCAGTATCAAACACCGGAAGAGATTTGCCAACAGTCATCGAAAATTGTAATATGCATAGACTCGTGTGGCCATCGCAAGTATTTTAAGACAACGTTGTTCAGCATCACAGCAATGCACGCAGATTACGTTATCATAATGGTTAATGCGCTTACAGGAATCGAAGAGAATAAGCAGCAATTAAGTCTGTGTCTTGCATTGAAATTACCATTCGTCATTGTAATTAACAAGATTGACCTCGTTACCAGTGATCAGTGTCTGGAACAGACGATGAGCAGCATCAAAGAGCTTATCTCTTCTTCATTCTGCATGAACAAATCATGGCTTGTGATTGAAAAAGAAGAAGATGTTTTGTCTTACTGGAGCTCTCCAAATCATAATATTGTACCGATCTTTCTCATCTCTTGCGTCAGTGGAGTTGGAATCAATCATCTGTACAGCTTTTTGAGCCGAACTAAACCATCTTTAAAAGCTGATCTTCAGGAAAAACTAACCAAAAAGAGCACAATCTTTCAGGTAAGGAGAGGTTTCTTTTTCAAACATAGTTGCAATACAATACTATATTTTTACTTGTGTAGATTGATGAGACATTCAACATTCAGAACGTCGGTAAGAATGAGTGATTTAATTTTTCTGTTAGCAGCTTTGTAACAAATTTTATAATCACCAGGTATTGTCGTCAGTGGAGTGCTAAGTGCTGGGTTAATTGAAGAAGGCTCCGAGCTTCAATGTGGTCCTCTCGACGACGGCAGCTTGATCGATGTTGTCGTCACTAGTCTTCAAAGGTTCAAAGTGAATAGACGACATGTGCGGCCTGGAGAAAGCTCAACACTGGCGATTGCTTGCCAAGACAGCGACAAGTCTGCCTACCTCGAAAAGAGCATTCGTAAAGGAATGGTCCTTTTATCTAAAAGCGAGAACAACCTGAGTTCAATTTGCACCTTCTTTAAAGCTTCTATTTTTCTGATGCCAAACTCGAAAGAGGTTTCGATCGGATTCCAGGGCATGCTGTTCACTAATGTTCGCCAGTCGGTGACAGTGGTGGCCATTCACAAAAAGAAGAGCATCTCTCCAAATGAATCGGCTACAGTGATGCTGCATTTCAACAAACACCCTGAATACATTCACCCAGGCTATCGATTACTCATTCAACAGGGAGTCACTAAGGCTGTTGGTCGCGTGATGGCTGTCTACCCTCAAATGTCATGAGCCTCTAAATTCATCTCCTCATTAATTTGTTGGGCGTTTCGCGCCATTCGCATCTCCTATTTCGTTGTGTTTTATTTTGTTTCCTTTCCTTTCGTTTGCCTGCCAGACTCAGTCACACTAGTCACTCGAAAACCGTCTCCACTTTCTAAATAAAAATACATTTAATCTTATTACCCTACAAATGGCCCATTCACTAACTTCCGATGGAGATTACGTAATTTTTTCTTTAGTTGGTCACCGCAAAACCATTCACAAATTGCCTAATCCTGATGACGGCCATGTCTATCTGTCTCCGTACAATAATAAGCACAATTTAAACATTAAGAAGAAAAATGCCCAAAGGTAAGTAAAGCCAGGAAACATAGTTTGAGTGTGCAAACTCCCTTTAAAACTAAAATGTTTTTCAGTACTTTGATGGTGGTGGCAATTGATCTGGGAACAACGTTCAGTGGGTACTCTGTCGTCTTTACAAAAGATAACTCTCAAATTCGCTATATGAGAAATGGACAAGGTAAGAATGAGAGTTAAATATTTAAAAACTTTTACTCATTTTTAATTTTAGATAAAGTTCCGTAAGTTGATAGAATAAATGGATTTTAAAAATGTAAAATTGGATTTATTTAAAGAACGGTTCTAATGCTTAATAACAACAAAAAACTACACTCGTTTGGACATGAAGCGCAAAATAATTACTACAATCTTGAACCTAAAGAAACAACAAAGTTTTACTATTTTGAACATTTCAAAATGGCTTTGCACAACGAGAAGGTAATACTTTACTGCTTAAAGCTTGAAAGTTATGCTAACAACCAAAAAACCGCTTTTACAGGAATCCCTAGCCAAACTAATGCTACAAAGCTCTAATGGCCGAAGACTTTCGGCAAAGACTGTTTTTACCCTATCTCTAAAGTATCTCTGTCAGCTAGCAATATCGGAAATATCCGATCAGATTGGCTTCAAACTGTCCCCCGAAGACGTCACCTGGGTGATCACTGTGCCTGCCATTTGGAGTGAAGGGGCTAAGGCATTCATGCGACAGGCTGCCATTGAGACAACGCTCGTCATTGACAAACAGCTGTACATTGCTCTTGAACCAGAGGTGGCGTCGCTTTATTGCCGCAAAACATATCACCAAGAACAGTCGAAAAAATTGAATATTGAATTGTCTATTTGCCTTATTCAAGCAGGTACCAACTACGTTATCATCGATGCCGGCGGGGGAAGTGTCGATGTAAGTCTATATTATTGACTTTTATTATTGCTTTAACTTGGGGTTTTACGATGCAGCTCACTTTTCATCAAATTCTCCCAGAAGGGTACATTCAAGAAGTAAAAAAATCAACAGGTGTGCCATGCGGTTCATTAAAAATTAATGAACAGTTTGAAAAGTTATTATCTTCAACAATGGGCAGCGAGTTGTGGGCAGAGTTTATTAGCAAACATGCCACTTCGTACATCCATTTGATGAACTCTTTTGAAGCGAGAAAACGAGAAGCTACTGCTGATCACAAAAAGTCATACAACATTGCTCTGCCGTTTGGTTTCATTCAATTTTTTACTTTACAGAGTATTGAAGACAAGTTTAAAAGTACTCACTGTCCAAAAGGACTGCGGTACAGTTCTAAGCTGGGCATTATTCGAATTGACTCTTCTCTAATGCTGCAGCTGTTTGCAGCAGTCGTCGAGCCAATGCGAAGGCACATCAAAAGAGAGATCAACAGCCTTCTTGTTAGTCGCAGTGTCAAGTACGCCTTCCTCGTCGGAGGCTTTGCCCAGTCCACTGTGCTCCGCGACCGACTTAAATTGGCACTTGAACCCGAGACACAGCTGATCATTGCCCCTTCCCCACACCTAGCTGTCCTTCATGGAGCCGCGCTGTTTGGCTTGAACCCAGAGGTTATTCGAATGCGTAGAGCCTCACGCACATATGGCATTGCCGTTTTCGATCGCTTTGACCCGAGAAAGCACCCTTTCGATGCTAAGGTTGTACTTCAAAACGGTGAAAAATGGGTTTGCAATGTCTTTGATCGATTCGTAACTGTAAATCAGCCTGTTGGTCTTTTTGAAACAATCACTCGGCGATACTCTCCGGTGTTAAATAGCCAAAGTTTTTGCATATTGAAAATTTATAGCACAGAGCAAGAAACAGTGACGTTTGTGACCGAACCTGGAGTGAAGCAATGCTGCGAGCTCTGCATTAACTTTCAGTCTGATGGCGAAGGCATTGTAAATCCGGCAATCGAAAAACTGTTTAAAAGAGAAATCGAGGTTGAAATGCTTTTTGGGCAAAGCGAAATCAAGGTAAGTTTTTGTAAAATAAATTTTAAGTAACTCAGTTTTTATTTACAGATAACTGTGAGAGATGAATTGGGAAAAATTGTCAAATCAAGCATTGACTTTCTTTCGAATAGCTAGCAGTATGTGAAAGTGAAAAAACAAATAAAAACCAATTGGAATGATAGACTGTTGAGATCTAGTTCAGATCGGGGAGATCTGCCAAGTTGTATCCATCATAGCCAAAATATGCTCTTAGAATATGATGAACATGATAACCGCCAGGTATAATGGTGATCAAGGCAAGTAGTAGGAAGGAAATGGAACTTGCGGGTTGAAAAGTAATAACTCCGATGCATGAGCAAATGTACAGCAGTATCATAAAGATGCCCACCAAAGCCAAAAAGACGGCCAAGATGATAGCTTTCCAAGGACGAGGACTAGAATTCAAATATCGATCCTCCTCCTCCTCCTCCTCTTCATTTTTCTGTAATAAAGAAAACAAACAATTTACTGTTAGAAACCAATGATCACTTCAAAAACACTTACCTCAGAGAGGAGGTGTTCCTCTTCTTCCCCATCGTTGCCTTCTCCACTAGAATCTAGCCCACGGTAGCGCAGTTTTTGAGACATGAATGCCGCCTAGAAACAGGAACACATGTGTTGTGAGAACCCGAATAATAACGGTGACGAGCAGTGTTTTGCTTTCACTGAATTGGTCTGACAGTATGTTGTCAGCGCTTTGAGTCTGCGTCATACATTTGGTGTTGAGCAGTGCAGTGCACCAGAATGCAGAGGTTCACCACCAGAACCACTTTTTTTAAATTCACCACCAGAACAATGGCTGTAAATGTTAAAATTTCCGTATTTTGTTTTTACTTTGGATTAAGCAGTTTATTAAGTGCTACTAGCTCATATGAAGAGGATTTAGAAAACTATTTGCTTCACAGCAAAGATCATTCTCTGGTCAAGCCTTTTAACGGTATGTTTTAATTTGCATTTTACTTAATTTTTAATTTTGTATATAACTTTAGTTCCAGGGTTTTGGGATATCTTTGGCAATGTCATTATTACACCAGAGTACGTGCGTTTAACTAGCGATCTTCAGGGTCGCAGTGGTGGAATTTTTAATACAATTGTAAGTAAAATAGATAGTAAAAAATGAATTTATTATTTATGACACTTTTTCTCTTTTTTTCTAGCCGGTAAAAGCAAATCACTGGGAAGTTCATCTTCATTTCAAGATCCACGGAAGTGGTTCAAAGTTTTTTGGCGATGGGATGGCTTTTTGGTATCTTAATGAGCCGCTTAAACCAGGTTTGTAGAACATTTCATCTGGCAAGCATCTGGCTTACATCTNTCGCAGTGGTGGAATTTTTAATACAATTGTAAGTAAAATAGATAGTAAAAAATGAATTTATTATTTATGACACTTTTTCTCTTTTTTTCTAGCCGGTAAAAGCAAATCACTGGGAAGTTCATCTTCATTTCAAGATCCACGGAAGTGGTTCAAAGTTTTTTGGCGATGGGATGGCTTTTTGGTATCTTAATGAGCCGCTTAGGCCAGGTTTGTAGAACATTTCATCTGGCAAGCATCTGGTTTACATCTTTTTTCAGGATCCGTTTTCGGCGCTTCAGATTACTTCTCAGGTTTTGCGCTAATAATTGACACATATTTCAATAGTCAAAAGAATCATCAAAAACAAAGACACAAACACCCGATGATAGCATTGATGCCAAATAACGGGTCTCTTTCGTATAGCCATGACAAAGACGGCTTCGGAGTACCGGGAATTTTGAGCTATTGCCAAGCCGAAGTGCGTCAGGTGAGGCACGAGACTTATTTAGCCATTCGCTACGAAAACGAAGAGCTACGCGTAATGACGAACATTGATGGGGATCAAGAGTGGAAGCATTGCGTTAGCCTAAAACGTCTTCATCTGCCAAAGATGGGATACTTTGGCCTATCGGCTTCAACCGGTGACCTATCGGATAATCATGACGTTATCTTCTTAAAAGTTTACGAGCTCGACACTGAATCATTGCCAGAGAATCGGCATTCTGTTCCAATGATTCCTAATGGACCTGTAATGAGGGAGCAAGAGAAACGAAAGTCTATCTGGGGCATTTTTATCTTTTCATTTTTTGGACTTTTGTTTGTCATTTTCCTGGCCAGTTTTATCTACTTCCACTGGCATGATAGAAAAGATATGCAAGCAAAGTTGAAAAGGAACTGCTAAAAACATGTACAGTTTTTTATCTCTCACGCAACGTCCAATCACTTACACACAGTTTTACACATAATTTAAATCTAAATTTAAAATAAACAAACACAGGGCAAAGTGTAGCACTGTGGAAAATGTCTTCTTTGACACTCTCAAGTTGAGAGTCTGTTCTTCTTACGCAAGTCATTGTCTGGCCACCAAGTGCAAGAGCCGGTGCAGCGTAGCAGCTTTGCTAACGGCTCAGCCACTCGGGTTATCTAATCGAGCCCAATCGTCGACTCTTTAATGAGAGGCAATCATTATTGGAGTGTGTATTCATTAAAAAGCAGCACTGTAACTGCCAACAAAATCAAGGATGCCATTGTCAGTAGCTGGCAAAGATGCAACACAAACATGAGCGCCCATGTAATTTTCGATCCAATGGATCATCTAGTCTTCCTTCACTGCGATCAGGAGTTTGAGCGCTTCCTACTGCAGTCTAATGGCTTTCAGGAGTCACCGTGGCCTCCTCTACCTGCCCAAACGGAAGAAGAGGTGCGCAATTTGATAACGCTGCATTTGACGCCGCATGTGTCAGTGAATCGACAGCTGGCTCAATCACTGAAACACCTCGAATCAATGGCCGACACCTGCGTCGCCCACCAGACTGTATGCATGTACCCTCTTATCACTATCCAACTGTATTCACTTTATTTCACACTATCAACAGTGGCAGCAGTTTGTCTTCTTGGAGCTTTGTCGAGATGGACACACACGGAAGAAAGAGGAACAAGGTGATGATGGACTGCACATGTTCCTACAGCGAAAGGTGGCTCTTTTCTCTCGAACAACTCGGTTTCTTTTTGGCAATGCACTCTACAGTATCAATAAATATGAACACAACATGAAAATGCTTTTTAAACTGATCGCCAAGTGGAGTAACATTAACCTTGAAATACCATTTTTAATTGAGGTCTTTCCGTTTGATATTTACATTTACAAACAAATGTTGACTAACCCTTTTTTACTATAGAGCATTGAAAAACTGTTTCTTGGATTTCACATGGAAATGATGCAAAAGGAATTGGTAAGGCAAACAAATGAATGTTTTCTCAACAGCTTAAGAAACATTTTTTAGATTTTACAAGTCGAGAGGCTAATAAAGTTGCAAATGAATAAACTTGGCGTCAAAGAAGTTAGAGAAACACCCACCTGTTATTTGGTGCTGTTTAAAGACAAGCTGCTGTACAAGCACGAAAGGTTCGTTTGAATGTGATTTGTGAAACTTTTCTCAAATAACATGATTAATATCTAGTGAACTATCGCGACTTTCTCAGGAAGACATGCTCTCGGTGTATCTGCTGACCCGAGCAGTTCAACTGTACCCTGGTCCAGGTAGTGATGTTTCCTCAGAGTGCTCCAACCTTGACGATTCAGTAACCGGAGAACGCATGTACAGTCACTTTCAGCAGTTGGTTTTTCTATCGTCGACGTATAACTGCCAAATCCCAGTGCCACACATTTACCGAAAAGTAATGGTAACTGAAGACCTTTGCTTTGTCAGCTTGTCAGAGGTAACTGTTTTACATCTGTTAAGGAGAGATTTAACTTTAATCATTTTACTAATTTTTCCTGTTAAAACGTTCAAGTTGCCTTCACTTTTGATGATTTCAATTCCAACACTGTTGCAATCGGTCGCTGAGCTGCAGCTCGATCTGAATTTGCACAAATCACTGAAATCAATTGAAAACCTAACAAACTGTGTCCGCAATCTACACCGGTACATTACAAAACACGTTATGCCGATAATGTCACCGCATCAGACATTCAACCTTGGTCCATTTGAGCAGCTCGCTGATTTGGCACGGAAAGCCAGTCACAGTCCTTCAGAGTTAGTCTACGAACAGGCCGACCGAATACTGACGCTGGTTTGGAGCCGACTGCAGGAGTATGGAGAAGTGGCATTCAAGCATCTTTACCACGAAGAGTTTCCGCAGCACATGCAAATCTATGATCAAAATGTTGCACACAAAATGAGTGATCTTCTGCAAGACAAGTTGAGCACTTGTATTGACTACATCCAGGTCAAATACGACACCAGTCATTTAGTGATCTCATTGGCAGTTGACTATTGTCCAAGTTTAGAAACAATGCTCTTCTTGGACCGGTCCACTGGTCACTTTGTGATGGGAAGCTTAGAAGGCAATTTTGAAAGGGTCACTGGTCTCCTCTCTAGCGTGGTTCTTCAGGCGTACCAGAGAAGAGAAAACACAAACAAGTGCCTGGACACTTGGTCTGACGACCACTACCGATTTGCCTATTTTTACCACCCATTAGAACGTAATGGACCTAGTCAAATGATTAATCAGCTTGATTCTTCTGCTTTGTATGAAGCGTTTTTGATTTTTAAAGAAAGCAGCCTTAATGCTGAATTTTTATGTCAAGCAAATATTGAAAAATTAATAAAAGTCTATATAAATAGATAAAAACCACAAAGAGTTAAAAACGCAGAAGGCGTATTCTAGCTGCATGGAAAAGGTTAGAGTAGAAAATTGTGACCGGCAACCATATTTTTCAAAAAGTTTTCTGGTTATTGAAGCATTTCGACGTAATTCGCTGGAAACAAAAAAATTAGTTAAGAGGTATTTTTCTAAACCATTGCTGAACAACTCGACTAACCTGGGAAAAGGCCGTAGGTGCCATCAGGGGAGNGCTGGAAACAAAAAAATTAGTTAAGAGGTATTTTTCTAAACCATTGCTGAGCAACTCGACTAACCTGGAAAAAGGCCGTAGGTTCCATGGCATAGACCCTGCCACCAGCCCGGGTCTACCACTTCAATGTGTGTAATTACATCTTCGGGATCAAAGGATATTTCAGTGTCGTCAGCAGCTTGGTAGTCGAAAAGAGCACGAGCACAGAGTCCTTGCGACTGAGCGTCATCTTTGCTAGGCAGAACTTCGCCCTCTTCAGTAACTAAAAAGATAAATATCAATTTGGTTGAATAAAAACAGTCAACACTAAAAACTACCTTGCTCCTCTTCAATATTTTCCAGTGTTCGAGGCTCCGAATAAAAGTTATTGTTGTATTGAGGCTGAAAGTTGGTCGATTGCAGAGAATACTGTTGATCCTCATCCTCATCGTTATTTCCATGGTAGACAATCTCATCCGGAGAAGAGGCTTCCACTCCCTTATCCTGATCTTCTTCCTCTTCAATAGCTTTCTCGGCTATATCATCAATTTCCTCCTCTTTTTGGTAGTTAGTGTTGTTACCATTTAGCTGACCATTGCTGCGTTGTGGGGGCGAGGCAGTCGCCTCTCTAATGCTAATCACCTTCTCCTGCTTATGGCTAATTTGCGAAGCTGCCGAATTTTGCTCAAAAAAGGCTTTGGCGCTGTTGACACTGTTCTTTGATACTGATTTTGCCTCTTCCAGTCTCTCTTTTCGGACTTGTGCACTGGAATTGTTTTTTGGCTCCTTACTAGAATCACTCGCTGTATCATCGCGCGAAACTTGAGACCTCTCTAATTTCATCTGCGAATCTAGTTTTTTCTTTTCTGTTAGTCTTTCCTCCTCTTCCTGCTTCTGTTTCTGCCAAAATGTTTCGCGATCTTTTTTAGAAATTTCATTCTGGGGCACTATTCGCTTGTAGTTTGTTCCAACAGGCTTCCGGTCATTTTCAGGTGGTGCCTCGTTAGTTTTGTCAATTTTAATACGAGAGGTTAACTTGGAAACGTGTTCCATGAGAACACTTGGAGATACTTCTTCTTCATTTCTGGCATTAATTTTAACATTTGCACCCTTGAAGAAGCTGATAACAGAAAGACGCGTGTTAAAATGATGATTGCAGTGTGTGCACACCTTGCATATCTCGCAGTGTCATTCTTACCTGCAAACATCTGCAAAATGGTTCATACAAACACCAAGCCGCTGCATTGGTGCGCATTCGCCTTGCTGTTGAGGATGAAAGAAAGGTACGATGATGATCAGGAAATGACTCGATGACATGACAGCACGATGACAAGACGTACCCAATTAATGAGTATATACCGACTGACTTGTGCATTGTTGTCCTTGGCTTCGCAGAATGCATACAGTATTTTGCTTTCACTAAACTCATCGTACAGCTCCTCCAACCCGCCGTCTCCTTTGCCTAAATTTGGGCACGTTCATTAATTAAAATACCACTGACAACAGTGAAAGCGGGATAATTAGTTTGGACAGTTTGACTCACCGACAAGAATTAGATCGTTGGACAGCTTATCATATCCAAACATAGCCCTGTAGAAGTGATGCGGAGCAGAAAAATGAGCAAGTGCTGTGAATGAACTTTTGGATACGCCTACCAGTTTGTTTTGCTGTGAGGATCAAGCACCTCTTTGTAGGCGGCGACTAGTCGGCCATGGTCTTTGCTGAAGTTGATGGCCATCTTACTTGGTGCAGTTGCAGTTGTTGGACAGAGCACTGCAGGTGGTAATCAGAGCAATGGTCAGTTTTGTTATTGTTCCTGGTGATGAGAACAGTCGATTGTCTGGCCGGTGATCTGGAAAGAAGTCTGCACTGTCGACATGCACAGTGCAAAGTGCAATCGGCAAGTGGATAGCCCGTCAAAATAGTCGCGACTTGGCATTTGATATGGGATCCCACCCCGATGCGGCGGCAATCACGTTCAAGACAATCGCACTGCTGTACAGACAACCAGTCTCCCCTATTTAGTTTAATCAGTGCACCAGACACTCACTGCTGAAGACACAGGTGATCTGGTGCTGGGCAATGCTCGCCCAATCGGTCAGCTGACTGACTGACTGCACTGCACCGCGCACTGCACATTCACTCTTGTGCCCACTTTTGACAGTGCACTCTCCGGGTAGTCCATGATGAACCGATCCTAAACTGGTCCATTCACTCCCCGAATGCAGACACTGACGACAGCTGAGAGTGGCAGCTGAAGCACTGCCAAGGAGTGATTTTAATTGGTGGCCAATGGCCGGCACTTGTACAAGTGTATATAGGATGTACAAGTGTTTTTAGTGAATGGGTGAATGCAATGATTGCACTGTACTGGTAGAGGCGCTGAAAAGAGGGAGAGTGAGTGAAATGACTGCCGCCGCCGAGTTCATTCCTCGAAGTGTTATGGCGCCCATGGTCATGTGCGTCTGGCGCCAGTATGCGCCTTTCCCAGAGGTGGGTTCTCTTTCTCTTTCTCGCTCTCTTNATTCCTCGAAGTGTTATGGCGCCCATGGTCATGTGCGTCTGGCGCCAGTATGCGCCTTTCCCAGAGGTGGGTTCTCTTTCTCTTTCTCTTTCTCGCTCTCNCTGACGACAGCTGAGAGTGGCAGCTGAAGCACTGCCAAGGAGTGATTTTAATTGGTGGCCAATGGCCGGCACTTGTACAAGTGTATATAGGATGTACAAGTGTTTTTAGTGAATGGGTGAATGCAATGATTGCACTGTACTGGTAGAGGCGCTGAAAAGAGGGAGAGTGAGTGAAATGACTGCCGCCGCCGAGTTCATTCCTCGAAGTGTTATGGCGCCCATGGTCATGTGCGTCTGGCGCCAGTATGCGCCTTTCCCAGAGGTGGGTTCTCTTTCTCTTTCTCGCTCTCTTTCTGTTGTTGACTGGATGTGTTCGCTCGTTTTTTGTGCCTCCTTCCACCCAGCTTCAGCTTCCTTCTTGCTGGTGGTGCTCATGGCGACGTAATATTCGTGACGTAACACTGTCGCTTGCAGACAGGCTATATGCGCAGTATGTAAGCGGGGCGATCGAAGGAAAACAAATAGTCACAAGCAGCTACAAACACCTTCTTATCAACCGCCAACTGGTGCAACATTCACAGAAAAGTGATTTCTACATTTGACTTTTTCTTCTCTTTCTTCTTATTCACCACTGTCCTCCTTCTCCGTCCTCTTCCTCTTCCCCTCTTCTTTTCACTCTTTTCTTCCACATTATTTTTGCTTCACTGACTTTTCTGGCTGGCCCATACATGCACACACACTTTACTGTGCGACACATTCAACAATTCGCCTTTCGGTACGTCTTTAGTCCCTGTCGGAACTAGCGACAGATCATGCCAGTCATTCTTTGCAGAGACCAATGTCACAAATCGACCAGAAGTTGCATTTAAAATAACCGTTTGAGGCTTGTCATCGAACAGTTTGTCTTTAATGGTGGTCGCATCATGTTACGGACAAGTGTTCCCTTGCTTCCTGTTGGACTTGCTTTTTCAGGCATCCGTCATGATAAGTGTCCATAAAGTCATGACTTGGCCAGTGATCTATGCTTTTTAGGCTCATCTGAGCTGTTCATTAGCAGAGTAGTCTTGCGCAAAGCAAAGTTCATTTACAATCCAAGTTCAATGAAATGTCAGCTGGTTGGCTGAAAGTGAAGGCAGCGAACTAGGCAGTGACCGATTAGAGAGCGCAGAAGGCACTGGCATTGGTAGACTCATTATCCTCAGTGTGCTTACATAATGATGATGATGCCGTCCCCTGTTATCTGAACAGTGTTGTGGGCACATACCAGAAGTGACAATACCTTGATTAGTTGAGGACGTCCTTATCGCCGTCAATAACCCGTTGTCGTCTTTCCTGCTTTCTGCCAGTGTTGACATGAGGAGACGCGACGACACTTCTTCGAGTGCACATCATTGATCAACACCACACCAAAGCGGCAGCAACAACGATCATCTGCGGAAATGGACTTGGAGCAGTCCCACCAGGAGTTAGTCAAGTGTGTCGTCGTGGGCGACACCGCCGTCGGTGAGTGTCCATTGGAGGTAGTGTCAGTTGAAGTGATGGCTTATTCGTTTTTTCGTTTTTCATTTCTGACTGACTCAGGCAAAACGCGCCTCATCTGCGCCAAAGCGTGTTCTCAAAACGTCCTTGAATTGGGGCAATTAATGTCCACTCATATCCCCACTGTGTGGGCAATCGGTAAGAGAGAGCTTCTGTGCTGATGACAGCCTTCTTTTGCTTTTAACCAGACAGCTTTGCTCCCCTTCAGACCAGTACCGAATTCACAAAGAGGTTCTTGAACGATCGTGGGAGGTGGTAGATGGCGTCAATGTGTCACTGCGTCTGTGGGACACCTTCGGTGATCATGACAAAGACCGTCGCTTCGCCTATGGCAGGTAATGCGCAAAGCTGCTCTTTATGTGTGTTTCCAGTGGGCCACTTTACTTAACAAAAACTTGCCTCCAGATCCGATGTTGTTCTGCTTTGTTTTTCCATAGCTAATCCACTTTCTCTTCGAAACTGCAAGAACGTTTGGTACCCTGAAATTCGCAAATTCTGTCCCAATACTCCCATTGTCTTGGTTGGCTGTAAAAATGATTTACGCCACATGTTTAGAGACGAAAACTTCCAATCACTGTGCCGCGAACGAAGTCCATTCTTCAGGTATTTTTCATAGCTCAATGTTGCACGGGCACTTACTAACTTACTGCTTGCGATCAACTTGCTTGCCTTGAACTTGAAATAGCACCAAAGTGTCACCTCTGTCTCAACTGACAGTCACCGTAGAAAGGCTTACCTTCACACAGCTCTTTTTTCATTATTTAATAATTGTAAACTGAATTATTAATATAGTGTATTAATGTTTATAGGGCGAATCATCTATGCTGCAGATTTCCAGAGTTCGGAAGGTATTTCTAGTTTTTTAACTTATAAATTTAATATTACACACATTAGGGCAGCTAAAAATAGAGTTGTGGTGAGCAACTGTGTTATTAGGAATAAGTGTGCGTGTCTTCAGTTAGTTTAAAAGTGGCCAATTTATTTCTTGATAATGATTTTTTGGAAATCAGCTCACTTACATGTTTTGTTGTATCGTATCACTAGGCCCTTACGAGAGTGCGACATTCTCACTCCTGACCAAGGTCGGCAGGTTGCTAAGGAGATGAATGCCCCCTACTACGAGAGCAGCGTCCTCACCGGTCACGGGGTAAAGGAGGTCTTCGAAAATGTGATTCGCTCTGCTTTAATATCCCGTCGCCACCAGCGCTTTTGGATGACCAATCTAAAGCACGTTCGAAACTGTCTGCTCCAGGAGCCGTACTGCCCACCTAGGCCCCTCAGTCCCCAGCTAAAAGTGCCCGAGTCACAGTACGAAAAGGATATGCGCTCTCTGCTGAGTCGCCAGGCGTACACTGATGTGGTCTTTGTGCACAATGCTGCCTCCGTTCACTGCCACAAAATTGTGATGGTTGCGGCGTCTGACATCTTCCACACTCTCTTCACCTACCACCACTACAATCAAATGTCGAAGGCTCACACATCGAACAGCACCAACAGTAGCACCAGCAGCAGCACCAGCAGCACTGACCGAGCCCTAACGAAATGCGCCAGTGACATTAGTATTGCCAGTTCAATGGACGAGTTCGACCGACAGAAGCACAAACTGTTCAACGACGACAGTCTGCTTGATGTGAGAATGAGTCGGCAGTTGAAGAACTTATTCAGTGCCTCAATTCTCTTTCCACTGCTAAACTTTGATACGTCAAAGCTCTTCAAGCACTCATTTGCGAAGCACCACAAACTGTTCTCCTGCAGTAAGGTGAGCCAGTCTAAGCATCGCTTCAAACTTCTCCAGCAGAAACTGATAACGGTGTACAAAAACGTCAAAGACATTCGATCAGACGAGTTCTCTGCTCTCAAGTCAAAGAGCAAAAGTGTGATATCATTTGGAACGAACATACCTTTCAACGCTCTAAAGAGCTACATTCTCCTCCTATACTCATTCAAGTGGAGCAGTGTTGAGGGTGACGCCTTCTTGATGGACAACCTCACTCGTTGTTTGCGCTATTTAGATCTGGTTCAATTCAACTCTTTCACCACTGACTACGATGAACTGCTGTGCAAACTCAAAAAGTACATTGATGAGGTGAAGTGTGGCGTCTTTGCGAAGCGATTCGTTTTCTTTGGAATTGAAAAGGGATTGTTTTCAGGTACGTTGACATTTTTTCTGCTTCTTTTCACTTTTTAACTGGCTTCATTGATGAGGGTAGATGTGATTTTTAAGTTGGAAGATGGCACTTGCTATGCACACAAGGCGGTTCTAATGGCGAGGTGTACTTTTATGGAAGCCATGTTCAAAGGCAACTTTCAGGAAAGTTCAAGCACCATGGTAAGTCGAGAAGAAAGTTCAAAGGGCACTATCATTGAGCATTTTTGCCGACAGATCGTTTTTCCTGGTGTGACTCGTGAGACGTTCTACAACATGCTGTACTACATTTACTCAGACCACCTAATCGACAGTGTGTCTCACAAGAACTGCCTACCTCTAATAGAGCTTGCCAATCAGCTCTGTCTCTTCCGGCTGATTTCCCTGGTGGAGGAGCGTATCATCACTGAGCTGGTGCAGATGGAGATGCACTCTGACATCAACGCCATCGTACTTAAGCTGCTGGAGCCCGCTCAAATGCACAACGCCGATCAGCTGTCGGACTTTTGCCTGTACCAGATTGCAGTCAGCTACAATGAGATATGTCACAATAACAGTAAGCTACTGCGCTCACTGCACCCTGAAAATCAAGCGTACTTGAACCGCAATCGGTGGCCACCGGTGTGGTACCTCAAAGAGCGCGACTACTTTGAGCGGTGCGTTCGCGAGCGAGAGTGGAGCGAGAATCCGAAAAGTTTCAAGCGTCACAAGATGAACAGTGGGTGTTTCTGCTTCTCAAAGTCAAAGTCCAGTCGTGCCCTGCTCAAGGGGCCACACTCTTCCTCGTATCTGCCCATTACCTTCAAAATCACCTGAGCAGCTCTCTTCAATACTCTTCACCTTTCTTCTCACAGGTGCATACCACGTATGCGTCTGATCATGTTGCCTTCCCACCTGCTTTCTCTCCTCACAATGTATCAGTTGGTTCGAATTGTTGCTCTAACTACTCTTTTACTTAAATTATTACCAACCGAAATGTCACCAACAAACGAGTTGCGCACTGACACGCATTTTTAAATTAAAAAGTTTATTACAATAAAAAATGCACATAAAAATTTTGCAATGTATGGTCGATAAATAATTGGTATATATATCACTGCATAGTGTAGTATATAATCACATTATATCGTCAGAATGAGCACTGATTTCTGCGAAACCAAAAAGTCGGGGGCAATTTCAATAAACACGATTTCTCACAAGACAAAGCAAAAATATAAAACTGAAACTAAAATAGCACCAAAGTGAAATAAAAAGAATTCGTGGTACCCTAAAACCGTGCTCAGAACAATCATTGTTCAGTCGGTACTGCTAAATAAGTGTTTTCAAAAAATTCGGCCAACATACAGGTCATCCTTTTCAGCCGAGTTGGACAGATGAAGCACCTGAAAACCCAGTTTAATGTAGAAATCCAGAGACTTTTTGTCTTCATGGACAATTCGGCAGTAAACTCCTTTGGATCCTGTTTGAATAAAAAATGTTTTGATTTGATGGTTGCCTACATTTTAAAACAACGTACCATTTGCTTTTAGAGCTGCAATAACACAAGCGAGCATTCGTTTGGCCACACTTATGCACAGTGAATACATTGGAGACAAATTAAGCAAGGAGGGATGATTTTTATAAATCACTTCTGGATCTGGGATTCGTTTGCAGTCATTGCAGTCATAAAAGTTTTTAGCATCAGCTGCCAGTGCATATCCGTACAATGTGCCATGGGTGTCTTCAACGACGAAACATGCTTCATTCAGAGTCAAAAAACCCCCCACGCACCTTTTTAAAAAGAAAAAAGTCAGCGCGTGACAAAGAAAGCAATTACTTACTTGTCTCCAATTAGTGACTGCTGATCATCCAAAATGGTGTTGCAATCTACAAAGTTCTTTAGGAAGATATCGTAGACTTTTGATTTATCACTGCTTAAATATGGTCTGATAGTGTAAATTGTGGTGGGAGATTCGGGAGGTGGATACACGAACAAATCACTAGCAGTCTCAACAGGCAAAAGGCGCTGCGTTGTTTCAAACATTTAAAATACAGGTTAAACTTGGAAAGCACTCAAACGTTGTTTAACGTACCTGAAGTTCACCGGTGAGGCCGCCGCGAAACAACCAAGGCTCTTGCTCGCCACTCTGAAATGCCTCTCTGTAGCCCTTGGAAAATCCTAATAATAATCAGATGAAAGTTTGACAATGTAAGGTTAGTGATTATGAAATAGTGAATGAAACCGAGGAGCCACTTCCACTTACCAATCCATTTGACGTAAGAGTTGAGCAGCGAGATGACGCCCTTGATGTCCCACACGTAGGGGTACAACTCGTAGAGAAGAGACCGGTTCTTGCAGAAGGTGAGACGAGTCAGGAGACGTCCAATGGCCAGAGTGATGTCGTTGAACTTGGCCGCACGCTCGTACCACTCGTTGATCTCGGAGCTGAGAATGACCTCATTGCTTCGCTTCCGCCGGTGCTCAGAGACGACGTATCCATTGGTCTTGAGCCAATGAAATTCGAGCAGTATTTGTACGCCCTGTGCGCCGTGCTCGAAAGGCAGGTAGAAGAGGTCCACGAGAAGGGCCAAGTCCTCGTACGTCAGCATGTTTGCCTTTGTCTCCTCGTCCACTTCAGACAGCGAAGTCACCTCGGTCTGCATTTCCTCCGCCGAATCGACGCTAGTCATGCTCTTTGCAGTGCTGGACTCTTCCTTTGAGTTCTCCACCATTGGGACGTCTAGTGAAGCTAACTTTGGTGAATGTTCTGGGCTCGGGTTGCAGTCCATGGGCTCCAAATTAGGACTCTGGATGTTTTCTTTGTTCAGCAGATTGTTCTCGGCGTTTTCCTCTCCCTCAATTTTGCTCATTGGCTCTTCCTTTTCGGTATCTGTGCCACTAGTAGTGCTGCTCTTCACGATGTTTGGGCTGCTTGAAATGACCGTTTGCTCGTAAGCAGTAGCAGTGACAAAGTTACTGATAGAGGAGTTTGAGTGAGTCAGCATACCCGAACTGGACTTGTTTGGCACCTCAGGGTTTTTTACTTTGTAAAACTCGCTGATCCACTCGTTGATTGATATTCGCAAAGCATTTTTAGGATGATACACATTGGGGTTGAGCTCGGTCGGTATGTCCTCAATAGAGCCGTTTTCCAGCTCCGATTCGAGCTTAACATCTGAACAGGGGTTCTCATTGGCGTCCGAACTCGATTTGGCCCACTGCGCCAGTGTGTGGATGGGTATAAAATCGAGCTCCATTTCATTGTTTGGATTGGTCAGAACGCCCTTTAGATGCATTAGCAGCTTCGTAGAGCGGCCACTGTACGGACCGAGAAACAGTCGCTTCTGGTCGTAGTCATTGGCGTGCAAGTTGTCCCAAATAACCGGCTTGCGGCGGAGAACTTCGGACAGTTCTTGAATCTGCGAAAGGCGAATTGTCTGCGAGATGACTCTAGTTCCGGTCCACATGACGTCAATGTTCGGACTGAGTTTACTTCCAATGGTGGCCAGGTACTCCGAGTTGGAGACCGAGGGCACCGCCCGCGACGAGCAGTACTCAGTGGGGCAGAAGAGAAAGGTGGGCTGCTTTAGGTGGTCGTAGACCTCGTTGGTGACCGCCACTTGGGCGCTCGCAAAGGAGTTGAACACTTCCTTGTCGGAGGCATTCAGTTCGATGTCAATGTCGTCGAAGAGAAGTGCAAAGGCCGGCTCACCGAGCTGCTTCACCTGGTCTAGCTTCCGCTTCAGGGCGGCAATGTCCTTCGGATTAGAGTAGACAATATCCAGCCCCGGTGACAGGGCGTAAATGAATAGAATGTTTTGTGACTTAGCATTGTTCATCAAGGTGGCCAACTGCTCGGCCTCTCTGTAAACCGGAATCGGGTGTGAGTGAATGAGTATTACATGAGGTCCCATTCCCGACTACTTACTCGACACTGTACAGTTCTCGCCAACAAGCTCGGTGCTTCAGATCATCTTTCGGAGCGTACAAGTACGTGTTCATGCCGAATTTTTTAAGTCTAGTTATCAAAGTATTAAAGTATTGAAACTGTAACCACCCACGCACAAGGAAGTAGAAAAACTCACTTTGCAAACAGATCTTTGCGTTGTTCTAGTGTCCATGGTCGTCCGTAAAATCCTAAATTAACAATGTCACTGCAAAGTTAAACTATACTAAAACCTCCAACGATACCTTCGACGACTCCACAAAGGAAGTCTTCTCTTGGAAGTGATGAGCTTAATGGAGTAGGTGTTGAACTATCAGCCATCTTTATTTATTTTCTAATTTCTAAATAAGTTATAGATGATGAGTGGTCGATTCTAGTGGAATATATCACAAATAGTCTGACGCTGTCATGAGTTGTGAACGTGGTTATAGCTCATCTTGATGCGATTTGGGTGGCTCCGAGGTTGGAACGGTGAGAAAGCCCAAATGGGATCGGGTGCAGATCGAGGCTACGGCACGGCAGTTTCTAATGTCTGACAGCATCATAACAAAGGCTCTCGGGGCAGAGCCACTCTAAAAGCTAGTGGATGCTTTTCACGTCACCAGATGCCACCATGACCTAAAGAGAACGACACAAAACTGCAACAAGTTTGCCTTATTTAGTAGAATTTCTACTGTAGAAAGCATACATACATTGCTCGCGCCCGTTCACTCAGTCGCCCTGCTGTGGCTTGCCTTCTTTATGAGCATTTTTACCTGGTCGGTCTCTGAAGCTGATAAGAGAGCAGCGACAGCAACAGCAACATCATCATCACAACCACCACCAGTGATTGTAACCAAACCTTACGTGCAATGACTGAACAGGTGCCACTTCTCCTTTTTTGTTGCCACTTGTGCCTGTCCACTGATTGATTTCGGCTCTGGGAGCAACACTTGTGATTTCATCTTGTAAACACACACTCCAGCCAGCCAGCAACACCATGTCGGGCTTCTTTGACAAGATAAAGAGTAAACTCAGAGGTCAAGGTGGCTCTGACACGAAACGCAAAAAGGTCTACAATCACATCAAATTCGATGTCGACCCGAAGAGTACCTGGACCTTGGTGGGAGAGCTTGGCGATGGGTCCTTCGGCAAAGTGTACAAGGTTAGAAAACCAAACTTTACACTGCGACGTTAGTACAACTTTCCAATTAACCACTTGAATTTCGTTCTAAAGGCTCAAAATATTAATACCGGCAAGATGGCCGCAGCAAAAATTTGCGAGTGCAAAGAAGAGGAAGAGCTTGAAGACTTTGTGGTGGAAATTGACATTCTCGCCGAATGTCGCCACCCCAACATTGTCGAACTTCTAGAAGCCTATTTTTTCGAAGGAAATCTTTGGGTATGTCCCTATCACTTTTATTTTATCAGTGACTCATAAACCTTTTCATAGATGTTGATAGAATTCTGCGAAGGTGGTGCAATAGACTCCATAATGCTTGATCTTGAAAAGGCTCTTACAGAGCCTCAGATTAAATATGTTTGCCGAGAAATGTGCAAGGGACTAAAGTTTCTTCATGAAAATAAAGTCATTCACAGAGATTTAAAAGCTGGGAATGTTTTGCTAACTCTTGACGGTGAAGTAAAGATTGGTAAGTGACAAGCTAAAAGAAAATCAATTTTTTTTCTACTCTTTGTTTACAATTTTTTTTGCTTTCAGCTGATTTTGGCGTATCGGCAAAGAATAAAAGCACTCTACAAAAACGTGACTCTTTCATCGGGACCCCATACTGGTGAGTTTTGTTTTTGGAATCTTGTTTCAGCTCCTAATTGCGTTTGCGTTTGACAGGATGGCACCTGAAGTGGTCATGTGCGAAACTTTTCGCGACAATCCCTACGACTTTAAAGCCGATATTTGGTCGTTGGGAATCACTTTGATAGAATTTGCTCAGAGAGAACCTCCAAATCATCAAATGAGTCCGATGCGAGTATTGCTCAAAATTCAAAAGGGTGAACCGCCCAAACTGGAGAACCCGTCTATTTGGTCCAAACAATTTATCGACTTTATTGCAAAGTGCCTTACAAAAGATCCAACACAGAGGCCAACTTCTTCTGAATTACTTTGCCATCCATTTTTGAAAAATGAAAGTAAGGAGGATAAGAAGGCCATTTTGGCTGTGATCAGCGAGTACAAAGCCGAGGTGTTTGAAGAAGTCGTCGTAGTTCACGAAGAAGACGTAAGTTGCCTGAATGACGTTTAATAATGTAGTCATACTGATTTTTGCATTCACAGGACGTTAATTTGAAAGCTAATGTTTCCAGACAAGAATCAGTTAGCACTGAGAACAATGATAATCTTTCAGAAGAAAAGTCTGAAATTGAAACATCAGTTAGTTCGATTAGCTCAGAGGAGCCACCAAGTCAAGTACAGTCTAAAAAGAATTCCAATCAAAAACGACCAGCTCCAAAGCCGCCTGTACTGGGGGATACTGTGATTTCGCCGGGGGAATCAGATTCAACAGGTGTGCAAAAAACGTTGTCAAAAGAAGGCAACAACAAGTCTGCTGATAAGGAAGCTACCACTGCTGCCTCACTACGCAACAACGAGGAGAACAATGATCAACTTCCTGTTGACACAAAAGAGGACCCTGAACCAAGAGCGCCAGAGTCACCGACCGATAAAGTGATGCTGATAAGTGCCTCGAGTAGCGCAGAGTCAAATGGCACTGCAGCACTGCCGCCTAAAGGCGAGCCACTGTCTGAAGAGAAGGTGAAAATAAAGGAAAACGGCAATTACGCATCCAATGACAACTGCCAAGTGACAATATCATCCAATCACAGTACAATCATCAACACTAATGAGAGCGCCGCGGAGGAAGAGGACAAGTCGAATATTTCTATTGTCACTATTGAGAATGGAACCAACATTTCCATCAAATCGTCGGACATTAACAAAGTCAAGTCGACTGATTTGGATGATGTTGCTAGTTTTAACAGCAATGATAGCTCAATGGGTCTTGCGGTTTCAGAAAGTAAACGGGGACCCAACAAAGAGAAGATTGTTCTCAACAACGAATATGTGCCACAAAAGGAGAGAAATTTAGAACATTCCGGAAAGGAGAACTTCACTGGAGATCAGGAAAAGTTGTCAAGGACAAGCTCAAATACTGATCAAAATATTAAAACCACCATCAAGGTGAACTTGAACTTGGTCTCAGAGAAGGACAACGACAGTGGTTCTAAGCATGTAAAGCAGCAAGCTGAAACCAGCAAAGAGACCACTAATAATAATAACAGCAAATTGCTCACTCGAATCGATCAAGTCAACTCTCGAAATTACGAACGCAAAAGAGTCACTCCGGAGGTGATTTCACACAACCTACCGAGTGCAGTCAGCAATGACCTCGACATCCCCTCCAATCATGCCAATTTAGCAAGCCATGACCAGGCGATCATTCTGAGAAAGAAGCGCGAAATGGTTTGTGCCTAGCACTGTCATCTTGACGGTAAAATAATGACAATTTTCCTTTTTTCACTTGCAGGAGCTTAAGAATCAGAAAAAGTCCAGTCCTTCAAGCTTTAATTCGCAAAAGAAGACGTTGACAAAAACGAGAAAGTTTATTGTTGATGGCGTTATGGTGACAACAACCACTAGCAAGGTGATTTATGGAGAAGCTGACAAACTTCACGAAGATCACATTTTGAGGTAGAGTGGCTTTATTGTTTTGTGAGAGACCAAATGTAATTTACATGATTAATTATTTTTGCAAACAGAAAACAAGAGCTACGTGAGCTGAAGATGCTTCAAAAGCAGGAGAATAAGCAAGTGCAAGATTTGGCTTACAAGTCAATACTGTCTTATGAAGCACTGCAGAAGAAGTTTGAAGTGGAAATGTCTACATTGAAACGAACTTATGACAATGATTTGGATTCACTGATCCGCCAGCAGAAGCAGTATGTTGAGAAGGCCGAACAGCAACAGGAACTGGATTTGAAAGTAGCAACAAAGCGAATCAAACAGGAGCAAGAGCGGGAGATAAAGCAGTTTCGGGAAAGTTTGAAAAACGAACAAAAATGGCTAAAGCAGGAGATTGACGTCTTACCGAAAGAAAAACGCAAGGACGAGTATAGAGCGAAAAAGGAAAACCTGGAAATTCTTCAGACAGATCGAGAACGCAAGTTTTTAGAATCGCTCAACAAAAATTTCGAAGCCACCATTGCACGGCTGAATCAAAGTCACAGAGAAAAGCTGGCTCTGATGGAGAGACAGTTTTTGCAGCAAAAGCAACAGCTCTTGCGTGCTCGTGAGGCTGCCATTTGGGAGCTCGAGGAGAGGCACCTTTACGATAAGAATAATATACTGAAGAAGCAACTGAATGATTCCTTTTTCCTGCAGCGACACCAAATGGTCGTCAGACATGAAAAGGTATGTTTTTGAATAATATTAGTACTGCTTGTGGTCCTAATCAACAAGCATCATTTGCTCACAGGAACTGGATCATGTAAAACGAATGAACATTATACAGGAAGAGGAGCTGCAAAAGCGGCACGCCATTGAGAAGCGATCTCTGCCAAAGAGGATCCGCTCGGAGATGAAAACACGAGAGTTGATGTACCGCGAAAGTCTTCGCATCAGTATTGCCAATTTGGTCAATGCCTACAATGTGGAAGAGGAGAGGGACAAAATGAAGCGCTTCCAGGAGAGCGAAAAGCAGCGGTACAAATTGGAACATCAGCGACAGGAGCAGAAGCACAGGAAGCAACTTGAAGAGCTTAAAATCTACTGTACCCAGCTTATTCATGAGCTTGAAGAAATTCACAAGGACAAAAGGAAGGCCTTGACTGAACATGAAACGGTCAAGTTGAAGCT